AGGAGTTGGATTAGCTGTGTGTAAGCTTCTTTCTAGCCCCAAATGCTGTGTGATTCTATAACTCTATTTCACAAATGCATGCATTTCTTATTTGTGACATAAATCCCCACAGAAAAACAAAGTCAGTAATAAATTATGAAGAACTCAGGTGCCACGATCGTTTGCACTTTCCAAGGACGCTCGATTCGATAAATTCCACCCCTGTAAGCAGCCCCTCTCCAGGGCGACAGAAGATTCCAGGCTGTCAGTGGAGCAAACCAAGCAGTCTCTCCCCATAATTGTATTGACAGGATATCAGCAGAGTCCCGACGGCAGGAAGGGTGCGCCCCTGACAGGTTTTGTGAGGGAGCCTTGAAGGCTAGTGTTGCCAGATTCTGTGTTGAGTCACAGGATTCTGGGGAAATGAGAATCAAGCAAGGAGAAGCTCGGTTCTTTATTTAATTTTATTCTTCCAGGGAGTCACATTGGAAGGCACACTTCTGCCTGCACATCACTTTACACAGCGCAGGAGAGGTCCGTCCTAATGAGAACAGCTACGTCCTTTTGTGGCCACATAAAACATCATCTTGATGCAATTAAATCCCGTTCAATAACCAGTCGTCTTGTTCTAAATGAGGCAGCTAGTTGTTGAGCATTTGTAAGGTAAAACGCCTGCTTGGATGTCTGGGATTCTCACTTTTCACTTGGTTACCGTGGCACCTTGCAGACATGTTCTTGAATAACTGATGTGCACACATCCTGGTAAATTCGTTGGGTGGGAAATACCAGTGCTGGGTTTGTTCAGTCAGGGTCTTTGCATTTTAAATAAAACAATGATTTTATTCCACCCACTGCAGAAAACAATTCAAGCGACAACCTCCAATATGGTGGGATGAACTACTATTTCTAAGGCACTAGCCTCCCTCAATAGAAATGCACAGCTTCAGGCTCAGATTAGACAAAAGCAAAATATGCCTCAGCTCCAGTCATCCTCTAAATGGGTGGAAGGCACTCCCGACCACTGCCACCCGCGAGGAGGAGGCACAGGACCTGAAACTCTGGGCCAGTGAACCGGGTGGGCCTCAGTGAAGGAATCCACAAGCCAACTCAACAGAAATTTTAGTAACATCATCATTATCATAAGGCTCCACAGCCTTCAACATTTTCAATTTCTCCCTTTTTTTAAAAAAAAGTCCAAACCCTCAAAGTTTCATAATTCAAATTTTCTTTCACGTACAGAATGCTGTTTTAAGCAGTAAAAATCATGTGGGGCTGAGGGGCAGTGGAAGTAGCCACCCACCCAGGCTCTGCCAGAACCCAAAGCACAAAGCCAGGCAGAGGGGACTGCAGGGTGCTGTTTTGTAAGGGGGTCTGGAAGGAACAGTCACGTCCAGGCCGCCAACCCCAGTTCAGGTTTTGCTAGATCTTACGGGATGTGGAGAGTATTGTGATGTGGATATCAACTTGACTGCGACAGAAAGGTGAAGAATCCAAGGACGGTCCCAGGGAAGGCTGCCCCCTGGCGGCTCCTGGCAGAAGAGAACCCCAGGGTCAGTCACCGCAAAGCTTGGGTGGGGGACCCCTACTGCTCCTGCATGGTCCCCAAAGGCCAGGACGGTCCTGCCAGCCCTGAAGACAGAGGCGCAGTCAAAGGTTGGTGATGGACTCTGCGTTTTCATCCTAAGCTGGGGTTCAGAGACCATTCTTCCTGGAAGATGTTCCGCTATTGCCACCCAGAGGCCAAATATTGAACTTCATATGGGGGATTTTACATATATATCTATACACATTGTTTTACACATATGTGCGTATATTAACTACATTATATCATGTATATTGTATACATATTATACACATGCATATTACACTATATATACGTGTATGTACAATACATGTAAACTGTATACACATACTATATATGCACACTATATAATGTATGTATGAATACACACAAAAGTACGCATCGCTTGGGATGGATGACTATAGTGCATTCAGGAAGGAGTTGGGCCACTGGTCACACTGGAATGACATCAGAGGAGCTGTTGCAGGGGCTGTGGGCTCCATTCTCTCCTCAATCCCAGAATGGTGGACCCAACTCACCCCTCTGTCCGCTGAGAGTGCCTCTTCTCACCTTGAAGTAAGTGAAGGACCCTGTTCCACTGGGGGTGGGGGCTATTAGTTGGAAAGGCGCTGCTGCCGCTTCCCTGCGGTGTACACCCTCTGCAGGAACATATCTCAAGGAATATGGGAGGAAAGAGTCTGTGTTTCCCCAGCCAGCCAACTCTGTTAATTCTGCAGTGTCAATGAAGCCAGAATTGGACAGGCAGACAGGCAGGGTCAGATCCAGAGAACGGGGGAATTGAAATGTTAATTCCTTCAGAGCCCTTCCTCCACCCTGATCAAGGTAACCTGCCCCTGCTCCAACCTGTTGCTAAGGTAACCAGTCTCAGGATTGTCCCTCCCTACAGGGAGTGGTTAATTACCCCCCCTTCCTGCCCAGATCACTCCCACTCGCCCCCCGCCCGTGGCTTCTCACCTTTTGGCCATCCACCCAGCATCTCCTGGGCCTACTCACAGTGCCTGAAGGAGAGAGCCAAGGGGAAGACAGCAGGAGAGCAAAGGAGGCCTGGGACCCAGAAAAAGGCAGAACACCCTCGCTTCTGGGGATACAGGATACACCTCTGGCCCCCTTCTTCCTCCCAGGAGTAGCCTGTGTTACCCCTTTTTGAACAAACCCTGATTTATATCCCCGGCGTGCTTCTCTAATGTTATACTTCAACCTGTGAAGGAGCAGAGCTCATCACCGATAACGGCGCATCTTCTGGAAAGCCTACTTTCCCTTCACGAAAACAGCAAAAAACACCCCCGGCAACAAAACCCTGCGCGCTCTAACCGGCGCTGGGCGGTCGTCTAAATCCCGGTTGCTGAGCCCACCGTTCCCGCCAGCGCCCTTCCCACGCGCCTGGGAAACCAGGCATTTTTAAAAGCACACTGCCCTCCAGTGGCGCAACGTCAATTTGCTCCATGGCTGGCTCCTCAACCACCAAACCTCAACCTGACTTTTCTGGTGGCAGGGAGGGAGGGAGGTGTGGCAGTGCCACCGCGGCGTGCGGGTTCCCAGCAAGCAGGAAAAGACACTAACGTGCCCAGAAACGGGCAGTAAGTACAAGGCTAGATAGTCTAACTAAAAACGCAACGCCCTGCGCGTGCCCGCGGGGCCTCTTAGGTGGGAGATGAGCGCTTTTTCTCTTGAGGTTGTGATTTGGATAAAGTAAGTGTAAGAAAGACGGAAATTAACTTGGGACGCGTTCTGTCCAGGAGAGACACACACCACCTGCTGCATAGAAGTAGCCCAGGCGCACGGAGGAAAGCAAAAGGCGGCCTTCACTGGGGGCTGGGGGACTGAGAGGTGGTAATGAACGTCCTGCGGGGTCACCGGCCAGCTGCTGGGGAAACCACAGCAGCCAACGTCGCGCAGGGCAAGGGTCCTGCTGGGATTACCCCATTCCGTCTTCCCAGCCGTTCCCGTTCACGTGTGTCGTTATCACCCCACTTTGAGGATGAGAAAACTGAGGCTCAGAGAGGAGACGCGACCTGCCTTTGACCCTGCAGAGGTCCTGGTCTGTCTGGACCAGAGCTGGAGTCCCCAGTGCTGCCCTCGAACCCAGGACTTGATGGCTGGAAACCTTTGACTGTGGGTGGCTCACCTTGACGATGAGCGGGTTCTGAAACATGGAGTCCCGCACGACCCCCAGCCTCTCATTCTCCATGCCTGGGCGGATGTCAGCCACTGTCAGGGGCCGCCGAGGGGGCGGGCAGATCTGGCTGACAGTGCGATGCACCTGCTGCTTCTTCTTTTTCCATCGCTTGAGGTCCTGGCGGGAGTCCCCGGCCTCTGGCATCCTGGGGGTCGCCGTGGAGTCGCCCCGGAGTCTCCCCGAGGGCTGGATGCCTGGCTCGGTCCCACGTCTGAGGTCCCAGCTCGCTTCGGGCCGCACCACTAAAACCCCGGGGTGGGCGCTGGATGCGGGCCACCTCCGGAGCCGGCCGTGCGCACCTCGCGGCGCCCTCTCGGTGCAAGGAGCCTGGGGAACGTATGTAAGCACCGCTGGTTCCTCAGAGTGTGTCTGGGACTCGGTGCTGCGGATCCGGGAGGAAAGGAGACCAAGGCCACCCCTTGAGGAGGCGTGGAACAGTCCCGTCTCCTTGGCGACGGGACGCCAACAGCTCCCGAGCCTACCCTAGCTCTTTCCTGAAACTATTGGCGGCCAGCAAGATGGACCTTTTAGGGTTTTCTTAAAACATCAGAGAAATCCAAGAATCACTATTGAGTGTGCCAAAGACATAGGATTCTAGAGGGCCATTTATACTTGACTTCCTCGTCAAAGTTACCTTCTTTCCATCCACCGACCCCACTCATGGCGTCCTCCCAGCCTGTGCCTTGAGCTGCAGCATACACCCGAGTTTGAAGCCAGATTTAACATAGGAAGTTAGTGTAGTTAGATAAATTGGTCTAATATCGAGTAAAATTAAGAATGAAGGCCATTATAGTATAGGAAACCAGAGCAGCGCTTGGGGGAATTGAAAATGTCCCCAAGGCCCAGAGCCCACCCAAGGAGATGTTGTTGTTGTTGTTTCCCAAGGAAATTTTAATGAAGCAGCTCCCAACAAACAAGGAGGTGCTAATCCAAAAACCCTTCCGCCCACCTGTCAGCAACCCTTTGGGCCTTCCCACCTACAATCCATCACTGCAAGATAACAGAACCAAGGACAGGAAGACAACAGGAAGGAAGGAAAGCTGAAAGTAGACCTTAGCTATAAAAGAGGGAAGACCTCCTCCTTCCATGGATTCTACCTCTTGGGTCCCCTTCTTCCTCAGGGAGAAGTCTTTTATAAATTTAGCCTTTAATAAAGCTTCTACTTTCCACTCTAAACTTGCTTCAGTGTGCTTCTCTGCTGTTATACTTCAGCATTGGGGAAGCAAGAACTTGTCACCGGTAAACAGCGGTAACACCTTCACGTTGAAAAAGAAATCCACATACCAAGGCTGAATGAAGCTGCTGCTAACCCATAAGGGCATCCCCAGGCACTACCCCTGTTGGATCCCCAGTTTTTCTTCTGGGAAATGGGCGGGAAGGAGAATCTAAAGTTGGATTAGATCACTGGTATCCAACTTTGTGCAATAGAATGGGGAGAGGTTGAAAAACTCAGATTCACTGGACAAGGTGGTGTACACCTGTCATCCTAGTGACTCCAGAGGCTGAGATAGGAGGATCTAAAGTTGGAGGCCAGCCTCAGCAACTTAGCGAGGCCCTATCTCAACAATAAAAAATAAATTAAAAGGGCTGGGGATGGAGCTCAGTGATAAAGTGGCGCCTGAGTTCAATCCCACTACAATAAAAAGAAAGAAAAACTCAGTTCCACAAGACTCAATCCAGACTCACTGAATGAGATTATCTGGAAGCAGTTCCTGACACCCTGCATTTTAATCCACCCAAACTTTATTTTGAAAAAGTTCCAATCTACAGAGAAATTGAAAGAAGGCTACAATCGTAAACCATATAGACTTCACCAAGTTTCATTGATCCTTGAGCTTGCCATGTTTGCTTTTACATTTGAGAGTACGTGTGCATAGGCACGTATGTGCACACAACTGATATATTTGAAAATATCTCAAACGATAATATCTTTGACCCTAACATCCTGTATCTAGGACATTTTTGTGTGCTGAGGGCCACAGCTGAGTCCGAGTGGCCCCTGGCATTTTGCCAATAGTATTGATTGACAGGCAGGGCACTACTATCCGCCTTGGCTGCTACTTTGCAGTTCTCACTGCTACTTTGGAGTTCTCATGGGGATTCCCGGGGATTCCCGGAGAGTTCCCATTGGTTGGGGAAGTGCAGGAGGACCGATTTCCGGAGGATATTTCCGGCTGCTGGTTCCTGGACCAGCCATGTGGCGTTCAGGAGGGGTTCCCGGGAGCGTGTGTGGAGCATGCTGGTGGAGCTCAGAAATAAAGTTTGTTCCTGCTTCAGTGGCTCGTGATTTGTGCCCAGCCAGACTGCGGCATTTGTGCATCACTATAATATTCTTATCATGTCCAAGGATTTTAATGTCATGCCATAATAACATCTAATATGCAGTTCATAATATAAAGTTGGGAATCTGCATTTTTATAAAGCTACCCAGGTGATTGATGCAGTGTTTCTGGACCCAGTAGCCTGTTGATCTCTAATCTCCCAGTATTTCCTTTTGTGCATTCATTCATCCATCATTTGCATCTTCGTTAAACATGTTAACATCCACTTATCCAACGCTCTGGGTTCACTGGAGGGCTGGATGCACTGACAATCAATCTGACCTTCGAGGCCTTACACACCAATAGTGCACGGTCAACGCACTAGCTGAGCCGAATAGACAGATTTCCGACTGCTCACCCAGGCCTGGAGCCGCCCTGTGTGGCAGCGAGGGTACATGCACGCACCTGGCTCTCCAGCCTGTGTTGTGACTTGCACAGACATCAGCTCTGCACTTTGCAATCAAAGGTGCTTCGCCCACTCACACAGGCAGGATGGTGTGGTAATGGAAAGAGCACAAGTTGGAATTCTAGGCCAGGAAGGGCATGTTGGACAAGTTACCAAGAGCCTCAGTTTTCTTATTCGCAGGATGGGACTAACACAGTATTACCTAATGAAGATACCTCCAACAGAAGGGCTGTTATGAAATTAAATGAAAAATTTGTTGCCTAGATGGCTACGTTCACTATGCGAAAAAGTTAAACGTTTGATGACCTGATTGTGGTGCTGGAGATGGAACTTGTGCTAGGCAAGACCTCTACCACTGAGCTACATCCCCAGATTTAATCATAATCATAATTATAATCATAATCTTTACAATTCTGATGGTCAACCAGTTTTGTTTGTTGGTTGGTTTCCACTTTGTCGCACCTTTTACTCGACCTCTTCCCCTAAGACTCGGGGAAACACGCGGGCAGGCAACTACGCATGCGCCATTTCAGGCGGAGCCGAGTTACTATGGCAGCGCGACGCCGAGAGGACCGGAAGGCGACGTAAGACTACTTCCGCTTGCGCGGCGGCAGCACTTCCGGGTTAGAAGGCTGGCTGCGACGGTCCTGAGGGGTAGGTTGGAGGGCATGGGAGTTGGCGGGGTCCTGGTGGCCGAGCGCCAGCTGGCGACCGTGATGACCTCGTTATCCTGGGACGCGCGGGGGCGCAGGGCGGCCGGCGTCGCTTACTCCTGGCCTCGCCACCCGGAACTGAGGCGGACGGCGTGGGAGGCCCGAAGTCCGCCTCACCTCGCCGCCCGGAGGTGGCGGGGACTGCGAACGGCGCGTGCTCGATGGGGGAGCTGTTGGCCCCGTCGGTCGGATAAGTTTCGAGCCCTGGGGAGCCGTTCGCGAGCGAGGGGACCAGGCCCGCCTGAGGGCCGCGGGTTCTGCGCGGGGAAGCCGGGTGCACCCAGGGGCCCGGGACGCTGGAGAAAGGGGCCCCCGTGCCTGGCCCGGTTGAAGGGAGGAGGGCGGCGCGGAGGAAGAGCGGTCTTTGCCGGGCCCGGGAGGAGTCGGAGCATGGTGTGTTGTGGGAACTGAGGGACGGCGGCGTCCGACACCCAGCCCAGGTGAGAGGTGGATTGCTGGGCCGACGGGGCGGATCATGACCAATCCTAGAGCCTTGTGGTCGCGGAGCCGTAAAAAGTTTTTAGCAGGTAATGACTATATATTTGAAAGGTCATCCTTGTAACTGAAAGCTTGATCCCTGTCCCCAATGCCAATCAATGGCAATTTAATAATGAGGACATGGTTTTGAGAAAAAGGAAAAAGAAGGTTTATTGCTTTGCTAGCAAAGGAGAAACACCTGGGACTCCTGTCCCAGAGGTTGTGACTCTCCAGATCCAGAGGGACAGGGAGGTTTTAAAGGGACTTGTCAAGATTTACATTTCAGGTGCTCTGGTAGGGGGTCCCAGGGCTTCCTGATGGCACATTAGGATTCACTTGTTGATTTGGGAGGTATTCACTTTCCGCATCCTCAGCAGGCATCTCCTTCCTGTAGTGGGTGTGTTCACGGGCAAGATTATGATTCTGAGACGGCAGAAGAGGGTTGGGATCCAGCGTACACATGGCTGGAAATGGCCTTTGTCAGGAGAAGGGATGCTTTGTTGCAGCAAGAGAAGGGGAGAGGAGGAAGCAGGGATGTTGGGTTTGGAGGGTGAAGTATTTCTTTTCTAAATTGTATGAGTGTGAAGTTGGAGGCAAGTTTGCTGCAAGTGAGAGAGAAGAATGGCATTTAAAACTTTGTTGAAGTGAAGGAACTTTGAAATATTTCAAGAACAGTGTAAAGAGGGGCTGGGATTGTGGCTCGGGGTAGAGTGCTTGCCTAGCATGGGTGAGGCACCGGGTTCAATCCCCCGGCACCATATAAAACTTAAAAAAAAAAAACAAAAAAAAACAATAAAATAAAGGTATTGTGTCCATCTACAACTAAAAAAAATTTTTAAAAAAGAGTGAATGAAGTGCCTGGAGCAAGGCTATCCAAAGTAGTACAATACAAGCCATATATGTCATTGACAATTTGCTAGTAAACACATTAAAAGTTATCAAAGCAACAAGTAGAATTAGGAGTGTATTTCACCTAACCCAATACCCAAATTCTGATCTCAATATTAAGTGAGCATATAAAAATTTTTATTTTTTTTAAAGGGAGAGATAATTTTTTTTTTAATATTTATTTTTTAGTTTTTGGCGGACAAAACATCTTTGTATGTGGTGCTGAGGATCGAACCTGGGCCGCACGCATGCCAGGTGAGCCCACTACCACTTGAGCCACATCCCCAGCCCATATAAAAATTATTAATGAGATATTTTACCTTCTTGTTCTGAATCTTGAAATGCAACGTGTATTTTAAAATAAGTGCAGTTTGGCCTGGCCACATTTCAAGAGCTCAGAAGCCTCATGTGGCTACTAGCTACCCTCTAGGGCACATAGATGTAGAGAAACAGTTGGATTTTTGAGCAGTGTTCAAGTCCCATCTGTAGTCAGGAACCAACTATTTGCAGCGGTTCCCTTCTGTCTAGTTGTGAGGTTTTTTTCCTTCAGCCATTCTGAGCAGGTTAAGGGCAGCCAAAGAGAAGGCACTGATTTATTCAAGAAGACATTCATTGAGCCAGGTGGGCGTGGTGGCTGGTGGCTCAGGAGGCTGAGGAGTTCAAAGCCAGCCTCAGCAACTTAGGCCCTAAGCAACTTAATGAGACTTGTCTCTAAGTAAAAATTAAAAAGCCTCAGTAGTTAAGGCCTTCAGGGCTCAATTTCCCTTACCTTACCTTGAGCTCCTCCCAAGAGCCAGGTACTCTGCTAGATGCTGGGGCTGTACAGGTGCATAAGACAAAACCTGCTAGACCCTATCTGAGTAGGGAGTCAACACAGTACTCATTTTTGCTATAGCTGAGTCCTCAGAGAGGTCATAGACCCCTTGTCTTTCTGGAGGGTGGTTCCCAGCTTGCTTGACAACTGGGAGGAGGCCACCAGACCTCTAAGGGCTGTTAGGGGAGGAGCCGCTTCAGAAAGCACTCTTAAGTCTGAATTCAAATCAAAAAAGATCTTTATTTACCTGGCCAGGGACTGTCACCCAGCATAGAGACTAAAAAAGTTCTGTGAGAGGACAGCAGGTTCCTGGTCCATCCAAGAAGAATATAAGGACAAAAACCACAACTCAGTGGCTTGCTTATCGCCATGTAAGCTAGCCAGTTACAGAAATTAAAACAATAAGTGGGACCTAAGGGCTGTAGGCAGGACTGGAGTTTTCCAGTCAGCAAGCAAGTGATAAACAGAAGCTAAAAAAAAGCATTAGCCACAGTCCTGGGTTCAAGCAAGTGCTAGACAGTCACATCCTGAATTTGGGCAGGAGTTGGCAGGGCGAGAATCTACTTCAAAGTCATGTAGACCCACAAGGGCAAATCCAGGAAGTAGCGCACCATGACCACTGCTGCATCCTGAGTAGGGTACAATTTGTGGGGTACAAAGTATAGAAAGACAATTTTTATAAGAAAACAGTTTTCATTTCAGTTTGCTCTTATAATAGTTTTTTTTAGAACGCGGCAAAATGGAGTCTTAAGCCTGCCTATGACAGTTCTTGCTTTATAATTATCTCACTTATCAAAATCTTATAATCTATATTCTTTACTAATCTATAACCTATAACTTACTCTTATTGATTGTATTTATCAGTTCACACCACAACAGTGCTTGCATGGGAGATAAGGTCCAGGGGCCAAGGGACTTGCCTTGAAGTGTTAAGTGCAGATGTTCTTTCATATCCTTTTCTTTCAGCAGCCCTGTTCTCTCAGCTGCCATTTATTCCCCAAGATAAATTACGTGCCTTCTGCAGAAAACACATAGCCTTCAGGCTTGAGGCCATGAGGGTCTGTCGTTTAGTGACAGCAGTGGCTGCAGATCAGAATACTTGGGTGCTCAGGAGGGGGAATGCAAGGAGATTCTTTTGATTTATGAACCACATAGATGAATTACCTAGTCAAAAACAAATAAAATCTAAAATTGTGAACTTAGAACTAATAAAGAGCGAGAAGTATGTGACATTTACAAATTTTTATTTT